GACTGGATCAAGAAGATGTGGTACATATACACCATGGAATATTACTCAGCATTCAAAAAAGATAAACACATGCAATTTGCAGCAACATGGATGGAGCTAGAAGGGATCATGTTCAGCGAAATAAGCCAGAAAGAAAAAGAAAAATACCGGATGGTCTCACTCATAGCAGGAATCTAGAAAACTTAAATAAGGGACCAGGAAAAAGAATAACTATAAGAAAGAAAATATCAAAATCAACAAACAACTATGAACCAGAGACACTCTATGGGGGGGGGGGGCGGGGAAAGGAGGGCTTGGGGTCAAAATAAGGGGGTTGTAGGGCCTCCCTGGTGGCGCAGTGGTTGAGCGCTGGGTTGCGAAGCTGCCCACAGCCTCTGCAGCACCGGTTCGATCCCCGGCTGCCGGGTGAGGGTCCCACATGGCGCGCAGACCTCTCCTGTCACCCGCTGCTCCCCTCAGCAGTGTACTTCGGTCCTTCTGCCTGCTCTGCTCCCCACTCTGGCTCTGGTAAATTCTCTCACCCTCCCGCGCTTCTTACTATACCCAGTGCTGTATAAATAAATAAACAAATAAATAAATAAATCTTTAAAAAAAATAAGGGGATTGTAATTGTATGGGGAATAAATAAATAAAATTTAAATTAAATTTAAAAAAATAAAATGAAATAAAATAAAAAAGATAAGATCCATTTGTATTATGCAAACAAGAAACTCACACCAAATTGAGAGAGAAAAAGATGCAGTGAAAAGCTAGAGCAAGAGCTATCTGGATTTTAGAGAAAAAACTAGAAACTGTTATTTTAATTACTGATAAGTTAAATTCTTAGTGAAAAAGGTAATAATTGCACTGATGGGCAATATATAATGACCAAAGGGGTGTCCCTATAAGAAGATATAACTGTCATTATGTTTATGAACCCAGCATATTTGCAGCTGATACAGAAAACACTTATGAACAAAACTGACAAGACCGTGACAGCAGTACCCTGATAGTGGGGACCCTGACACACCACTTAGGTCAGAGGACAGATCAGAAAGCAAACAAAGAAATGACTTTAGGTGAAATAATTGATCACAAATAGACCAATACAGCAAATAGACCGATACAGCAATTTCATCCCAAAAGAAATGAATGCATAATGCACATTAGCATACTCAAGGTCAGATACTACGTAGGGATAAAAAAAAAAAAACCTCCATAAAAATGTGAGGTGAAAATCATATCAAACACCTTTCTTGACCACAATGGATGAACCTAGAAATCAACCACAGAAAGAAAACCAAAGAAGATTCAGTTATGTGGCAATTAAAATTAATGCTTCACAGTAACTCTTGGGTCAGGGCAGAGGATAATTGGCAAGGAGTGAAAAGAAGAGAGCAGCTCTCAGATCCTGCAGTATGCAGAGTGACATTGAAAGAGCGGGTCACAGCAATACAGACTCACAACAATAAATAAGAAAAGGCTCAAATAAACAATCTTTACATTGGAAGGAACCAGAAAAAGAAAAAATGAAACCAAAAGGCAGTAGGAGGAAAAAAACAGTAAAAACTGAATAGAAATAAATAAAAAAGAAACAAAAGATGATACAAGAGATCAATGAAACCAAGAGCTGTTTTTTTAAAAGGATAAGCAAATTGACAACCCTCTGCCCTGCTCACCAAGAGAAAACCCTAATAAAAAGAGTCAGAACTGAAAGAGGTGGAGTCACAACAGATACTGCAGAAATACAGAGGATCATGTGAGACTGCTATGAACATCATTATGCAAACAAACTGACAGGGAAGAAAAAATAGACAGATTTTTAGACATACAACCTTCCAAGACTCAGCCCACACAGACTAGACAGCTTCAACAGACCACACCATGCAATCGAGTCAGTAATCAAATCTCCATAAGGACACAAGCTGAGGACCATATGCCTTGTGACAGCTTTGTCGCTTCCCTGGAAGGGTGGCAGGGAGGTGTTGTCATGGCCATGGGAATGGGCTCCACTTTTCCTGCCCCCTCTTCCATGCCACCAAATCTCAGAGCCCTGAGATTTCGTCTTCCTGCAGTTGGTGAACTCCCGGCAGGGGGCAGCTGGAGAAAAGGAAGGAGCAGGGCAGATACAGGTGGGTATGGTTAGGAGAGGAGGACAGACCTGGGAGGGGCTCTTTCTGTCCTGGGTTTGGTGCTTTGGGCAACTTGTCAGGTGGGCAGGATGATGGCAGCTCCATCCGGGCCTTTTGATCGATTGTCCACTTTGGACAGTGCATTAAAATTTGGGTCTCTCGTCTCCCACCCTCTTGAACCCTGACCAACCTATTGATTTTTTCTTTTCCCCCCTTGGAGGTGCTTTGGACTCATTCTCTGGCTCAGCTGTGCACTTGGTCTATTTGCCCTGATATTTCTCCAAGAGACTTGGGAGTTTCAAGTTTGATTGGGAGCATCTTCCCTCCTCTTCTGAGCATTATCATTGTTTTTAGAAAAAACATTGGATCTGATCATATTTGCTTTCAAGTAGACACACATTTGAACAAGTTACCACATAATCTAAGATTTAACTCCTGGAAAGGGTGAGCTTCCTAATGTGTGGGCTAGCAGCATGGTCCCCGGAGCAGACTCCAGAGTGTCCATGACTGAGGTTTCTCTCCCGGTGTGCGCTGACCCCACCAGGACAGGTGCCCTCTCCCCTCTGCCAGGGTCCCCTACTCAGAGCACATCCCCACCCCACAGGCTCTCTGTTGTGCAGGGCTGCGCCTGGACCAGCGTCCTCCACACCGCTGGATCCCCAGATGGAGACCCGCAGGGATCCTGGGTGAGGACCAAAAGAGAGCAGATGACTGTGAGACTGAGATGCAATCAAACTCCATCTGAGCGTGCTTACACCCCCTCTACAGTGTCGACTTAGCAGGAGGGAAAATGAGGAGTTTGGGGTTAGTAAGAAGAGTAAGATGAACTGAAGAATAATTCTGGCTAAAGGAAATAACACATGCAGATACTTGAACTTTCCTTCATGAAAACCCACCCTCCAACACAACCCACCCTAACTAAGGAACAAGATCCCCATTTCCTCATGCAGGTGTCCCAGCCCCTCTCACCTGCAGGGCTTCTCCTCACACAGATGCCCCCAGGGCTAGGAATTCATGTTACTAAAAAAGAAAAGCAGTCACAACAATTACAAATGTTGAAAACAAAGACTGAACTGGTCCAGGAGATTGAATGGTCTGTCTCTCCAGGGGCAACTGTGAAGCGGGTCAAGGGAAATGAAGAAGTGGGAACAGTAGAGTACAGTCTTCTCAGTGCCTGTAGAGAAGGGCTGCCAAGAAGGGAGCAGTATGACCACAGGCCCACAGGCTGGGTCTGGGGAAGAGGCGCCAGGGAGCTCAGGAAGCAGCCAGATGCCACAGCCCAGGGAAGGAGGGAGACACAGGAACTCCCTTCTGGGGGACCCAGCAGCAAGAAGAGCAATGGCTGGGCAGCCATAGCCCTGGCGGTGCCAAGACAAGCAGCGGGACAGGGGCAGGACACGGGCCTGTCTGAAGCTCCAGAGGCTCCTGTGTCAGAGGCAGGGGTGACTTCAGACAGGGATGGGCAGTGGGTGGCACATATACCTCCCCCTACTCTCGTGCCCTCCACAGAGGCAAGGACTGTTCAAGCACCTCCCTCCTCAGACATGCATCTGGGGCACTGCAGGCCGGGGCTGCCAGTTAGAGCAGGTGCACAATCTGGAACCCACTTGCCCTCAAATGATGGTCTCACAGTCCCTTCTGCTCCTAAATGTGATGTTTGACTCTTCAATAGAGGTTTCTTGTTTCTGATTTAGTACTGGCTCGCTCAAAGGAAAAAGAAGTAGAAATTTAGGATCATAACTTCACAGATCCCTCCTCCCTACCCTGAAGCTGAGCAGGGTCCCCTGACATCCTGCTGTTCTTCCCAGGAAAGGGAAGAACTGAGCCTCACCCTGTGTCAGGTCACCCAGCAGGACAGTGTCCTAGATTGTATCTCATTTAAAATTTTTTTCTTATTTTTTTAAAGAGATAATATTGGTTTTCATACCACATATGACTCTTGGTATGTCTTTATATGTCACCCCTTCTTTATATGTATGTTACCAACATACCCCCCACCAGGTCACCCACAATCCCATAGCTCTCTTCTATCTGAAACAGCCCACACTTAAAATTTCATCCTGGCTCCACAGAATCTCTAGCAAAGGAATGTTCTTAGGTCACTGAAAACTAGGGTCAGAAGAGCAGGCACTTGATTTCTTCCGTGCTGCTTCCCAGTGCTCCCCAAAAGCCGGCTCTCAGCCCTGCGGGGAAGCATCACACAGACAGGCCCTGGCTGGGGCAGCTTCAAGTTGCAAATGTGTTTTATTGAAAGAAGCAATGAGGAGGTTAACATGGGGCCCCAGACAAGCCTGTGCCACTCCCCAAAGCCACGTGGTGCAGGCCTCAGGCAGGGATGCTGGTGTGGGATGGCCAGGAGCCCATTCTGGGTTATTCCCATTTGGGCAAAGAGGGAAAAGCTCGGGATTTAGGGGCATTGGGATGGGTGGGGGTGGGGTGCATCTCTATCAGCCTTAGAGGAGACCCTCACGGAACTGAACCATCATAGTGGATAGGCTCAAGCGGGTTCCCTGCACATGCAACGACAATGCGTCTCATTCTGTTAATAGTGTTGTAATGGGAGGTCGCTCCATTCCAATCACACTCTGTGATGCTCATTTGGGAAGTGCTCTTGCGGCACATCGACCCATCCTTGCAGGGGAAGTTTAGCTGGTGGCAGACAGCCTGGACAGCCGCCAGGGGCTCGTGCACAAATGTGTTGAACTGCTTCGTTGAAATATTCCGGCTACTCATCATCTGGTCACAGTAGGTGCGGCCAAAGGGGCCCCTTCTGGAATCCACGTGCTGCCGCTGGAACCTCTGGGCCTGAGTCTCCCTCAGCTGGGAAGGCCAAGCCCCCTCAAGCACCAGCAGCACCAGGCCCAGCAGTGAGAACAGGACAAGGGACTTCAGAGCCATGGTGGTCGCGCTCCCCTGGAGGCCGCACCTGGGAGAGGAGAGAGGAGGAAAAGCCGCCCCTTAGGAGAAGGACCCCCTCCCACCGTTGGGCTTCGGGTTACAGGTGCCCCTTAGATCAGCAAGAAATGCCCCTCTTCCTGAGATCTGCCAAGTCATCAGACACTATTGTTCTAAAGAGCATTTTCTCCTGCTTGCTGGAGACACTCCATCCTCCCCTCTGTGGGTGAGCGCCAAAGTGACCAAACCCTGGCAGTCCTGTCTGTGACTACTGAGCTGTTTTGATGTCAAATACATGTGTACCCCAACTCAACCGCCTCATTAGAGGATCCTTTCCAATAAAGCCTGAGCTGCCCTGACACTCAGGGTCAGGCTGACAGACCCAGCTGTCTTCCAGCTGAAGGACATTCAACCCAGTGCCTGACACTGGCCTCAGAGAGATGCCATGTGCTGCACAGAGAGATGCTCCCCTAGCCCAGCCTGGGGCTGCTCCTTCCCCAGCCCATGGGGGTCTCTTTGCAGATGGCAAGCTCTACCCAGGCCCCAGCACTGCCTGCCCCAAGCTGTCTCCCCTCCTGCTCCTGCCTCTCCACCCTCAAGCAGAAGCAGCTCCAGAGACCACCTGGTGGGCACTCACCTGGGCTTCCAGCTTGGTCTCTGGAGAGTGCAGGCCAGTTTCTGCAATTCTGGGGTGCCTGGGGTTCAGATCTTATAGAGACTACAAGGGGCGTGGCTTTCAAGAAGAGAAGAGTGGGAGGAGCATCAGAGATTGAGTCCACAGGAGGAGGAGAAGGACAATGTGAGAAGGGGGATTTGTCCAGGCTTCCCTCTGTTTGGAGGAGCCTCTCTCCCACGTGGATCATCTGTTTGTTGGCTCACCAGGAAGAACAGCGAAGATCATACAGCACTGATGCCTGAAACCTAGCCTACTCCTGGCTTTCTTTTTGTGGCCATTTTCAACAATTTGCTCTTGGAGTTAACAAAGGGCCTGTAACTTGTGATCTCAGGGGAGTGGGGGATGGAAGCCTCTCTCTGCCCAGGAGTCCTGGAACAGCTTAGACTGCAATCCATATCTCCCCATAGTAGTTTTCCTGGAGACAGAGGGAGAAGAGAGGTGTCCAGCTGTGCCCACATAGAAAGCTTCCCCAATCTGGAGAAAAAGGGAGGCGTGCCTGAACCAGAAGGAGAAGGAAGCCTCTAATTCTGCAATGGGCCTCCCCAGTCCTGGCCACTTCCTGCCCACCCTTCACTCCCAATACAGAAGGTTGAAAATTTTTGTTGGCGGGTTTACTATATTGACAATTTGTCCTGGGATTAGGGCAAAGTAGAGGAAAGAAAATAAAACAAACTCTAAATCACTTTTGGAGAAAAAATAGAGAACATCTGTAAAAAGAGAGTGATTTGAAAATCACAGAAGGTTGAAAATTTTTGTTGGCGGGTTTACTATAGTGACAATTTGTCCTGGGATTAGGGCAAAGTAGAGGAAAGAAAATAAAACAAACTCTAAATCACTTTTGGAGAAAAAATAGAGAACATCTGTAAAAAGAGAGTGATTTGTTTAATTTTAGTTTTATGTTTTCTACTGAGTGACAATTTAAATAACTAGGACATAAATATAACAAAAATCTTCCTCCGTTCTCTGGATTTAGACAGTCTCAGTTCAAATTTTGATGTGGCACCTTAACAGCAGGGCAAGTTATGGAATTTAATTTCCCTCTCTGAATTGCCTCATATCTAAGATGGGGTTCTTCACATGAACCTCTTAGATTTGTTACTAGGACAAAATAAAGCAGACACAGAATCTTAGAGCAGTGCCTAAAGCATCAATATATGTAACTATGTGATTGTTGACTTGAGGGGGAGGTTGAAAAATTCCCCAAGTAGTGGGTTAAACAACAATGGGCTGAGCCTTCTGAGATGCTGTCTACATAGCGTACAGTCTAGGGACACCACACTTCCTTTGCTCAAAACCTGAGCTGTAATTAGCAGGTACTTTTGAAGCTCTGAGAAGAGAAGAGAGAGACCTGCTGGGAAGAACAGAATGCTTTAAATGGATATTTTCATTATTTTTAGATGATATCAAAGAAATCTATAAAGTCAACATTATTTCTTATGTGCATGGATTTGGATATGGCCATGGGGCCAGGAAAGACCTGGTGGAATGAATTTTAGCTTCATGCTCCTTCTCTCCCCCATACCCAAACATCTACTCAGGTTTTGTCTGTTCTTAGTCTTCAGAGCCAAAGGGGATCTCTCTCTTCTCCTGGCTCTGGATTTCCCTTTAGATTCCAGCAGCTCTTCCTACTGTGGTGGTAGAAGACAGAGATGCCTTGCTTAATCCCAGCCATGATGGTAGGGTCTGCAGACTCACACTGAGGTACAACTGGGAACACTGTCCCATTGAACCAAGCAGAGTAAGGGCCGAGAATACAGGGCAGGCATGAGTAGGTCAGGGCTCCCAGCTCTGTTGTGTCTGTGGAGGACACTGGAGGAAAGGGAGCCTGTTTAGGAGAAAAAGGCCACCAGAAGGACAGTTCCTCCAACAGTACCTCCCTCTCTGAAGGGGTCTTCCATGCCCCTCCATCAAGGAAGCAAGGCCTTGCTTTAAATAAGTCATTTGCTTAGATATTGTGCCAGTCACTCCTGTTCCTGCTTTTCTTCTGTTAGTCATCAGTGACAGGAAAAAAACAGTACCACACTGGCAGGGAGATCTTGTCAAGGGACAAGCCATATAGGTGGGGAAGGAGGAGAGCCTGGCATTATGCAGTGGAGGGGCCAATTTTCACATCTACTTTGTGGGGCCTTTTATAAAGTCACCAAGTCCAACCCTCTGTCCTCTGATTCACCCTCTTTGACCTTTGGAATAAATAAAACTTTTCCTCATTACAAGCAACCTTGTAATAGACCCCAAAGAGGCAAATATATGGATCATCTAGTGTTCTCAGAGCTTTACACACCTCTAGAAAACCTGGTCTCAGGATCATGTTTCTGCCTTTAGAGTGGATATTTGAGCAGGATGGATGAAATGGCTGATGCTAGTAGTTACACAACTGGTAAGGGAGTTATTTCTTAACATCTTACATCATACCATTTCAACACAAACTATTACACTTTCTAGGAATTCTACCCATCTAGGTTTCTTAATATAAACTGCTAGCTAGCACTCATGTGCCAGGAGATAGTTCACAAACTCTGAGGACCTCCAGCATCACCTTCTGCTCCCAGCAGTCAAATCGACTCCTATTCCTTTCCACAAATGTACTCTTCTCTGCCTTCTTGGTTAACACAAGAGGACACTGCTCAGGAGATACATTTCCTCACAAAATTGCTCAATTGTTTTTCATCTTGAGGAAAGAAACAGGGCAAAACCCAGAGGCTAAGTCTGGATGTTCAGATTTATTTAAGACTTGTTAAGATTCAGAACACGTCCATTTATTTTTAAGAATACAAAGATGTTTCTCTAATGTAATAAGTGTACCTAGATCTAGATGACTGGTGGATTCTTTGGTGAGCCCAATATAAAACGTTGGTTCCCTTCAGTGCTTTGTGATCAACCATCAAGTCTACTACAAAAAAGACCAGAAGGGGCATTAAATACTTACCAACAGTTATCCATCTGGACATTCCTTTCCCATGTTAGAAGCAGCTAATGATGCCAACAAAGTGATATTGTTTTATTTTATTATTTTTTAGGCATGTTTTATTTATTTATTTATTTGTTTGTTTGTTTGTTTTGTTTATACATGCACTGGGTACAGTCAGAAGCGCTGGAGGGTGAGAGAATTCACCAGAGCAGGGAGCAGAGCAGGCAGAAGGACCGAAGTACACTGCTGAGGGGAGCAGCAGGCGGCAGGAGAGGTCTGTGCGCCATGTGGGACCCTCCTCTGGTGGCCGGGGAGCAGCCGGGGATCGAACCGGCGCTGCAGAGGCCGCGGACAGCTTCGCAACCCAGCGCTCAACCGCTGCGCCACCGGGGAGGCCCAAAGTGATATTGTTTTAAAAGACAGACATATTGGGCCTTCCTGGTGGCGCAGCGGTTGAGCACTGGCTTGCGAAGCTGCCCGCGGCCTCTGCTGCGCCGGTTTGATCCCCGGCTGCTCCCTGGCCACCGGAGGAGGGTTGCACATGACGCGCAGACCTCTCCTGCCGCCCGCTGCTCCCCTCAGCAGTGTCCTTAGGTCCTTCTGCCTGCTCTGCTCAACGCTATGGCTCTGGTGAATTCTCTCACCCTCCCGCGCTTCTGACTGTACCCAGTTCATGTATAAACAAGTAAGCAAACAAACAAACAAACAAATAAATAAATAAAACATGCCTCTATTAAAAAAAAAACAGACAGACATAGACAAATCAATAAAATATGAAAGAAAATGGCTAGGAAATTTTAATACAAAGAAAATACTAAAGCATTATCTTCAAGAGATGTTTTAAGTAGGGAAAGTCAATGTGACTTAAAGCTTTAAGAATTATTGTAACAGTTTGGAAATACAAAGAAATAAATGTATATTTTTGTAAAAAGCTTTATATTTAAAATAGTTACATACAAATTAGAAAACTGTGTCATGACAAGAGCATTAATAAACACACACTCACATACAAATCTAATGTGACTAAAAATTACATATATGGAAATTGCTAATGTATGAAATGAAGAAAGACGAGGTTGGCAACAAAAATTCTGGCTGACATGGTGCTTATAATACAATCTAGCATTTGGGGTTTTTTTTTGTTTTCGTTCTTTTTTTAAGATTTATTTTCCTTTACTTATGCATACAAGAACTTGGATTAGGCCAAGATGTAGAGGTGAGAGGGATCAACAGAGACTGAATGGGGAGCAGAACAGGGAGAGCTACTGAAATACATGCTAAGGGGAGCCACAGGCAAGACAGGAGGGGTCTGCTGCACCATGTGGGTCAGCTACCTGGCGGGGGATAGAATTCATGCCACAATGACTGACAATATTGAGAGTGCTAAGACTTTAAACCCCTGCACCACCAGGGATGCCCAATCTAGCATTTGTCTTAGTGAATTCATTGCACATTTTGACTGCCAGTCCCCACATTTGTTGGCTCAAACTCAATTTGTTTTTCAGGAGAAAACATGCAAGATCATAAAATATCCAGATATAAACCGAAATGATATTTTTTAATAACTGAAAGAATGTATAATTGCCACATTTCCTGAACTGCAGAGGTCAGCTAGAGCAATATACTCTAAAGAGGAAGAATACAAAGATATTTGGGCAGTGTCTAGTATAGATTCTGCGAGGATTTGTATGACATACAGAGTGTTTATAGATAGAAAGAGTCTGGGTCAAGTTGATTAGCAAAATAAAGGATTGTTCAGTAAAAACATCTTTCCTCAGGGGAGGCAGGGCTGTCTTAACTTAATTACCAGATAACTTATTTATCTGGTGGGCAAAGGATTTGAGAGAAAGGAGAGGACTGAACTATTGAAGTGTTGATGGACACCAGGCAATAACAGGGATCTACAAGTGAAATATCTGGGTCTAGTCGGTGCATTCAATGGATTCACAGGCAATTCTGCTGCTTTGGGTCCTTATTTTCACATATAATTTCTGACATTCCTTGCCATACCTCAGCCAGATTCATACATTTTTAAATGTATCTAAGAAAGGTGTCTAAAAAATTTAGGCAGTGGGCCTCCTTGGTGGCCTAGGTGTGAAGACTCAGCATTGTCACCACTACAGCCTGAGTTTGATCTCAGCCAGGGAGCAAACCCACATGGTGCAGCAGACCTCTCCTGTTCTATCTGCTGCTCCCAAAATAGGGCTGACTGCCCAGCTCCAAAAATAGCCCCTTCCCACAGCCTTGGATAAAGCTGGGCCATGGGGAAGGAGGTTTAGGAGTTTAGCCTCAGAAAGTGACAAGGCAGAGAAGCCACTGTAGGAAAGGCATAAACTCAGGTGCCAGATGGAACAAATCCCTCCCCTCTGCCTAAGGACACATTGCTACATGACACTAGCATGCTGTGTGATATTTCCAACCTCAGTAAAAACACAGTTACTCACATGAAGACTAATGGAATGAGCTAACAAGGAATTGAATATAAAGTGTTTTTGTAGTGACACCACCACAAACCAGGTAATCAGCAGTGCTGCAGAGCAACTATTATATACTGTGATCAATATAAGTGGACAAATGTAAGACACTAGTTTAATTGGTATGTTCTAAAAGCATGGGATTCACAGGCAGGGACATGACAGGGGCCCTTGTAGATATAAGGGATGAGAACCTCAGGAATGGAGATTCCCCTTCCCTCTCTCACATCCTAGAATATATATCTTATTATGCAATCAGCATCATCACCTAGAAAATAAGCCTGAAGATAAAGACAGATCATCCTGGATGAGTGTTCCTATTTCAGAGAAGAAGAAACACCAACAAGAAGAAGCTAAGAATCTATCCAAATTTTCCATGTAGCCAGTTTCATCAAGAGGCAGCCACAAATAAATGAAACACTCCAGCTTCAGAGGGAGACACTCCTAAATCTGCTACCGTCTGTCACTACAGTCGTCTCATTGCTCACATTTCTGGGTAACTGATGCTATCGACATTGGCGGTTTATGAGCAGATGTTGGGGGATTTCAAGCGTGGGTGAGTCATGCACTTTCTGCCTCTTTCTGTATAATCTCAGGAGCCAGATTCCCTCTTAGCCTCCTCTGCTGTCAGCCATGAATGCTTTCCTCCCTTCCCTCCAGCATGTCCTTTTCCTTCCCCAAGATCCTTACAGCCAGGACCAGCACCATCTTCAGTTTGAAGCCTAGCATATAAAGAGCTGGAATAAGCTCAGAGACAGCTCCACAGAGAGTATCAAGGATCAGGAAAAGAAAACCATCTGATCATTTTCAAATATATGAATCCCCACAAAAAGAAAAGCGAGAGAGGTTATAATGTGGTTTCCTAACAGGAAATAGTCCCCTGCTGCTGGAATCAGGGTGGGTGGGTATGTGTGAGCATGTCAACCAACCAGACATAAACACACACACACACACACACACACACACACACACACACTGACCTGAGGGAGGAGCCACAGCCACTGACAAAGGTTAAGCAAAAGGGCTGCTGACAGGGCTTCTGTCCCCACACATCAGTCTGCAGGGATGCTCAAAGACACCAGCTGTACATTACTACAATGTATTGTAAATGAATGAATGAAAAATTACTTCATGAGATTCAGAATTCTCAAGCTGAAACCATGAGGCTCCTGTCATTGTATCTTCTAGTTTCATTCTCCTTCGCACTGGGCCCTCTCCAGTTGTCGGGCTTCTCTCCCTCAAGTCAAGGAAATATGTTCCTGGAAAATGAGGGGAAGAGAGAAACAGGAGTCTCAAGCATGAAACGGAGACAAAAAGCAGGGAGTTAATGGTTCTGTTTCTAGGCTGTGTGTGTCACCCACCTCTCCTCTGAGATTGAGTGCTGATCTTGAAAATAGATACAGCACAGTATGGCATCAGGCCCTCTCTGCGTGGCTACTGGCTATGATCACAGGAAACTGAGAAATGAATTGGGCAAAGTTAGGAAGAATCATACAAACCACAGCAAGGCACTGTGTTCCCACGGGCTCACAGGAATGTCAGGCCCAACACAGTAGAGAGGTTAGTCAAGGAAAACAAAGCTCTCTCCCTGCTCCTCTACCTAACTTTTGGGATTCTCCTGCAGAGGCATCTATAGGAGACATACACGCTGTCAACATCCACTTCACACACACCTTCATGAAAGATATATACATACACACTCACATATGTAATCTTCTCCCTCTTTCAAAGATCACATGAGTCCAGGTGGAAGCATCACTTACCATCATTCCTATTGACCCATCGGGAAATTTTGTGTTTTCATCTAGTAACTGTGGACTCTGCAAGGTAAAAGATACAGGCCTCCAGAGGAAACTGCTGAATGTACATGTGCAGCAACCTCAGCCAGAGAGTGACTATCAAGGGCTTTGGAACCCTAGGGAATTTGGGTCATAATACAGGTCAGTCTCCAACACCTAATGTCATGACAACTGAGGGTGAGGAGTAATTAGCATGCAAAGTAAAGGGGGGGGGTGTGTGCCAGCACAGCCCTGAGATCAACTGCAGTGACAGAGGCAATAGTAGCTTGCCCCCCACCCCCGAACCTTTCCTAGAGGTCAGACCTGCATCTCAGTCTTACAGCTCTTCCTGCCTCATGTGGCCTCCTCTCCCTGTCCCCTCGCTGACATGTCACCAATAAATCTCTTACAAATCTAATCCCATCCTAATATCTGCTTTGTTGAGAGCCTAAACTAACACAGACATGCTCAAAACTGATTTAAAAGGTAACTCATGATTTCACACTAAGTATACATGAAGCCAGACCCAGGGTGTCTAACACATGTATCTGCCCCTCATCAGGAAATGTGGTAGTGGCCATCTCTCTGCTCATGAAACCTGCTTTTTCTACATTCTCTCTCAGAAACTCACTTGGTCACACCCTCTTCCACCTCACCCCCTTCTTCCTGTTGATACCGGAATTGTCAGGCCTAGTCTCCCAGCCAGGAACGGATTCCAGGCTGCAGGGCAGTGCTGAGCCCCAGCCGCTAGACCCCCCACAGGTTGGTGTCTCACGAAGCCGCAGCAGGAACTTCGCAGACGCTCAGGCAAGCAAGCGAGAAGAGGCAGTTTGTTTAGAAAAAGAAAAAGTTTATTGAGGAGAAAAAGAACAGAAATAAAGTGGGACTCCCAGGCCAGGGAACCAGGCCTGGGAGGGGCAAGGAAGCCAAAGTGGAGTCGTGTCTTAGGGAATATATACCTTTTTTTCCCTCATTATTCTAAAGCTGCCCCAGTCTCTCTGTGATTGGTCAGTTCTCGGCTGTCTCACTCAATTTGTTACTGAGTGGGGGAATCTTCACATTCCTTATCTAACAGCTTCCTCTTTTCCCATTTGTTGCATCTTTAAATTTATGGCCCAGTCTTCTGGATGGGCATCCCTGCATTGAAGTTAAACAGCTGCCCTTCTAATGTGACCATAAATTAAACCACTCTCCATTTCTCCAATTTCCGCCTCCCTTTACCACCTCAAGGAAACCAGGACCAGCTTTAACAATGTTGTCCTTGGTCCTGGCATGTTTGTTTTTCCTAATGGAATTGGTTATATTTCTTTGGTTGTCCTTATCTCTGAAGCCTCCCTAAATTCTTCAGAGGTCCCCTCCTGCACTGTCCCTAAAACTGCCTAATAACCCTAGCTTGCCCTGTCTCAGAATCAATATCTTATTAAAACAATATATTATTAGGTGATGATTTCTCTATGGAAGCCTTCTGTTTTTACTTTGATCATATGGTTATATGTTAGCAGGTTAACTAGAAAAAATCCCTTTGTCTTCCTTCCCCCAAATAACTTCTGTCCTTTAATTCCCCCAGCCTTTAGTTAATCATTCACTATGGTAAACATAGAAATGTTGTTAGTTTCAGGGCCTCCCTGGTGGCGCAGCGGTTGAGCTCTGGGTTGCGAAGCTGCCCACGGCCTCTGCAGCCCCGGTTCGATCCCTGGCTGCTCCCCAGCCACCGGAGGAGGGTCCCACATGGCGCGCAGACCTCTCCTGCTGCCCGCTGCTCCCCTCAGCAGTGTACTTCGGTCCCTCTGCCTGCTCTGCTCCCCGCTCTGGCTCTGGTGAATTCTCTCACCCTCCCGCGCTTCTGACTGTACCCAGTGCATGTATAAACAAAACAAACAAATAAATAAATAAAAAACATGCCTCTATTAAAAAAAATTAAAAAAAAAAGAAATGTTAGTTTCAGTCTCATAAGTTTTTTACTAGCAATAAGATGATTGCTTGGTGGTTTAAGATATATGACTACTCTAAGAACACTTTTGTTTAGCAACTGGGCCTTCTTTAAAACAAAGAATAATAAATGTCAGGACCTCTGCAGGAGGGCAAATAGACCCTTGGCTGTTCTTGAAAAAGATGTGATGATTTTTATCTTCTTGCTTTAATGCATATGCTTATGTACTGTCATGGTTTGCTTGAAATATATAAAAAGCTGCTGAGACCCTCAGCAGAAGATACTGGCACAAGACATTGTGTGTGTGCCTGCCTCATTCCTCAATTAAACTGATGCCTCCCATCCTTCAGAAACCCTCGACACCCAGTTTGCGAAGGCTGGCCCCCGGCAATTCCAGAACTTACATTTTTAAGTGCTTTAGGGTTTACTGTTTTTTTTATCTGATTCTCACAATCTTGTGAGTTCAGGCAAGTATTTGAAGTATTTTACATAGCATTCTTTAAAGAGATAAGTGTCAGAAAGTTTCAGTGACCTTTCCAAAATCAGACAGCTAAAAAGTGAGAAGCAGCCTAGAATAATTACCCATAAAAATATAGCCTCACCCCACTAGAAAACCATTTCATGCCACAAACAAAGAACCACACCAGCCTCTTCTCGGGCTCTTATTCCACCTGTTCATAATCATCTCACTTGGCCCCATCACCGAACCTCCAGCCCCCTCTTCTCCCGAAGTCCAAGAAGGGCCACCGGGCTCTCTCTGACCCCAAGGGCATCCTCATGTTCAGCTGTGAATCCTAGTATGCTGTCCCCTTTACTAGACCTGGGGCAGGTAGAGTTGGGGTTCTGGGACTGGGGAGAAATCGAACATCTCTCCTCCAAGGTGTGCTGGTGCCATGCTCACTGCAGGAAGGGACTGGAACTGTCCCAGGGAGTAACAGGAACTGTCCCCCAATCTCCCAGGGGTGACAGTTCAGACATTCAGTCCTAGACTCAACAACCTCCAGCTATGTGTGTAGAGACGGCCCCGGGGTCCTTAGGAAAATTAGACCCATGCAGAGCCTGGAGGGTGAAGGAAATAAAGAGGCAGCCCCAGCTCCTGGGGACCCCAAATGACTGACTCTCCTCCTTGTGCCTCCTTTTCACTGTGGTCATTGTCAAAGAGGTACATTGTACTCCTTTATCCAGAAAAGCAGTGGTGAATCCTCTCACACAGACCCCCACACCTCTGGCCTATAGCCTAGTTATTCTATATAAAAAAAAATTTTTAATTAATTTAAAAAATGAGATGAGAATTCTAAAAAAAATAATTAAAATCTACATGATCCACTTCTGTGCATTTATCCACTTCTGTACATTCATCCACTTCTGTGCATTTATCCTAGAATGCAAAACACTCAGTTGAAGAGATACATGTTCCCATTTCTTCAAAATATTATTTATTTATTTTTTTAAAGATTTATTTATTTATTTATGCAAGCACTGGGTACAGTCAGAAGCGCGGGAGGGTGAGAGAATTCACCAGAGCCAGAGCAGGGAGCAGAACAGGCAGAAGGACCGAAGTACACTGCTGAGGGGAGCAGCGGGCGGCAGGAGAGGTCTGCGCGCCATGTGGGACCCTCCTCCGGTGGCCTGGGAGCAGCCGGGGATCAAATCGGCACTGCAGAGGCTGCAGGTAGTTTCGCAACCCAGCGCTCAACCACTGCGCCACCGGGGAGGCCCCAAAGTACGATTTACAATAGCCTGGAGGCAGCCTAAGACTCCCAGGAGAGATGACTGGAGAGAGGGGGTGCATATACTCACTGCGATACAGCTCAGCTGTTAAAAAAAAAAAAATGAAACCATGCCATTAGCCACAGCATGGATGGATCTGGAGTGTATTATGCTTAGTGAAGTCAGTCAGATGGAGAAAGGCACATATATGATCTTGTTAGGGGGAAAGGATGTCCTGAGCTAATCCCATACAGGCTTTGTGGACTCCACCCCTACTCCAGACCAAAGCCATCAAGACACTGGGAAAGACAAATCCCATCACCACCAAAGGGAAGGTGGCTGGGACCTGAAGGTGGAGTTAAGCAGCCAGGTTTAGTATAAAAACCAAACACGTGGGCCTTGGGGGGCTCGCTCTCCGCTGCCTCCTGGCTTCACCGCTCCTGGCTTGTGGCCAGCTCTCACTGTGCCATTTGGGATTCCAGATCGGCGGATCAGGTAGGACGGATTTAAAACTTTTGTTAGGAGTTGGCGCCTCAACTCCGACCGGGGTTCCCAAAAACTACATGGAGCCAGAGATGCAAAAGCAAAAAGGCTTTATTGCTAGCTTAAGCTAGGGTCCAACTCTGCCTGGTGTACTGACACAGCAGTCTCATCAGGTTGAGAGAAGGACCCCTTTAAGGGTGACAAGCTGTTTTTTATACTCTATTCACAGTAGAAAAGGGGACCTTTCATATCAGTGAAAGGGGACCTTTCACAACAGGGACCAAGTTCGATCTGATTATGTGCCTTTTTTTGGCAATCTTTAAGTTTCATTCACCCTGGCCTTGTGGTTCTTGTGGTTTTACCCTGCAAAGGACAACTGTGTTCTTTAAAACGGTCGTTTTCCTTAAAATGGCTGTTGTCTTGCTATGTTTAGTCCTTTAAGTTCTTACACTTTGTCTCCCACTTTTCTCCCTGAGTTGTACATTTCCTCACTTGCCCTTCCCTTGTAAATAAATCTTTTATTAACCTTTCGTGTGTGCCTGCAGTAGAGTAGTGATAAGTCCTTTCAAGCGCGTGGGTGAGGACCCACAGTCAGGCAACCCGTTTTGTATCGGGGCTGCCCTATAACAATCTCACTCATATGTCCTACGTAGAGAAACAAAGCAAGCAAATGGCCTATATTATTAAAAATAATATTTTGTACATAAGACGAAATTAGTGGTTACTAGAAGGGAAGGGGAGTCAAGGGTGAGCAAATCAGGTCAAAGGGGTCAACTATATGGTGAGGTACAGAAGAGGACTGGGAGCAGTAAAATGTAGTATACACAGATGTAGATTTATAATGATGAATACCTGAAACTTATGTAATGTTATAATACAATATTACTTCAATTTAAAAAATGTTTACTTTTTAAAGTCAACCTTGAGCAAGGTGGAGGTAACTTCCTGAAAATCCTTTCAGGCCTGCCCTCTAACCATGCTGAATCATGGCCAGCCACCTCCAGGTCTTGTTCTGGCCTTGCTCCACCCTCCCCAATTTGGTCTTCCAGGAAAACTGTTCCTAATCATTCCAGATTCTTCTGGTGTCATTTTCTGCAGGAAACCTTACCTGTCCCCTGCCATACCTCCCCAGGCCTGCTCTTATGCCCCCTTCTTCCTACTCACCTTGGTATTATTATCGCTTATAGTTATGTTTTCCCCCAGCAGACTTGTCAGTTCCTGAAGGATACAATCTAGAACGTCAATTTCTGGCATCTCTGCCTAGAATATTATCTGTCAGATGGAAGAGACTCTATAAATGTTTACAGAATGAAGCTGGGATCATGTGCCAAAGGACATGAACATCCTATTGGATCCTGATATAGTGCAAAGTGTCCTCCATAAAGTTTGCACCTATTTACAATGCCATCTACAATGTATAAATATATAAATATAAGTCTACAATGTATAAATATACTGGAAGAAACTGTGTCCTTGTATTTCTTTACTAGTGAGGTTAAACAATTTCCCCAATGTTCATTTCACTGCTCATACACCTCCACTGTGAATTGCCTCTTTATGTCCCAGTAATGATTTCCTACAGCTTGCCAAAGTACATTTCTTTCTCCCCCTAAGCAAGGATCCGCAGGTCCAATCTTCTAACTGAGTGAAGGACATTTTTCCTAATCTATGTAAATTCATATCAATTTGCCCCAGAAGGAGAGTTTACAATCTAAGTGTGCTACATATGCCTAAGGCAGTTAAGATTTTCTACATTACAGACTCTGCCTTCTTGTAGCAGCTACAGATGAGAAATCGAGTTTGTGTTTTCAGCAAGTAGTTAAAATTTCTGGAAAAGCGCAAGTCTATTAAAATGATCCTTTCTTTTTATTCCTTCAACCGTTTCAAGTTTATTCTCTGAAATGTCTTCCCTTAAACCTCTAGATGGAGAGGGAAAGCAGGAGTAGGAGCATGGCTCAAGGTCAGGCCACCCTGCAAAATGGCACAGCATCTTTGTAGGCAGTTGGTTAAGTAGTTGTTGTGACACAAATTTGCATGTCAAAGCTTTTTCCAAAAAGTGTAGCCTGAGATCTTATTCTATCCCTATACTGTCACAATAAGCCTCCTCATTGCCTCCCATCTGTTATTTAAAGGACACATATTTTAGCAGTGACAGTGACTTTATAGTACCTCCCATATAGCATCAGGGTAAATCTATAGACACCATCTTATGCCACCTGATTCAGTTTGGCATAGTTTCACCCACTATTCGGGCATTGAAGTCTGCCCTGGTCCATTTCAAAGTTCGCATGTACTGCCAGGCTCCATTTTTTAGACCAGAGATATTTATCCCTTTATCTCTGAAGAAGCAGCTTCTTACCAAGTGAACTCTGGGCCAGGCTTCCTGACTCAAGTCGAAACCACCTCCTATTTCCATACAAAGCCAACTCAACTGCTTATCTGTATTTTGTTCCAAGAACATTTCTAAACTAGGCTCTGCATGACCAATGATTCTAAACCTTTCCTGCCCTGAAAACCTTCTCCCCCTTTTCTGGACTCCAAAGAAACTCTTCTTAAAATTAACCAATTTTCCAGCATTTAGTGACACGTCTCCCCAGACATTTGTCCCATTTACTAAAATATATTTGATGAGCAGCTTATTAGGAATCTACTATGACTTTGTGTAAGTGCTAGAAATAAAGCCAGAACAACTCTTAGACCTGGGAAAGAGGGAGCTCTTCCCATGACCACCTCACATTGTAACTAATCCAAATACACAAAACAATAAATTTCTCAAAGAATAAAAAAGCATTCTGTCACTTGGGATCCACTGCAACCTATAACCCTAACCCTCTGCTCTCATGACTGACAAGACTCTAACTCAAAGAAAACACTTCTCCGCATCTTTTGCTCAAGATTCCTAAATGGTGACTACATCTGAGAGACAAGTCTTTGTAGGTTGTGCCTCTGCCAGGACAGACACTGCCTCCATGTGCTGATGGTTCAGGGCAGTAATGTACATAGGTGAAAGAAGCACTAACTTGTCAAATTCTCTCTGACAGAGAGCACAATTGTGATGCCTTTTAAGATCATGATGCATCCTGGTGCCTGAATCTATTTTTGTTTTACCCTTCACAATCCTGTGCATAGTTCTAAAGGTTCTCACAAGTGAGCACAGTATTCACAATTGTACACAGTGCTAGAATACATGCTGCAATATTCAATCATTTCTTTTTTTTTAAAGATTTATTTATTCATTTATTTATACAAGCACCGGGTACAGTCAGAAGCGCGGGAGGGTGAGAGAATTCACCAGAGCCAGAGCAGGGAGCAGAGCAGGCAGAAGAACCGAAGCACACTGCTGAGGGGAGCAGCAGGCGGCAGGAGAGGTCTGGGCGCCATGCGGGACCCTCCTCCAGTGGCCTGGGAGCAGCCGGGGATTGAACCGGTGCTGCAGAGGCTGCAGGCAGCTTAGCAACCCAGCGCTCAACCGCTGAGCCACCGGGGAGGCCCTTCAATCATCTCTTTACTCTTAAATTTGTACACATGTAAGTTTGGACAACATCCGTGAAACATGATGCTAATTCTTTATAATACTCTATGTCTCTAAATACAGTTTTAAGAAGTTGTGAAACTTAAACTTAATAGCACTCCTATATTAAATATAACCCATAAAATATACTGCAATAATGTTAATTTAGCATTTGCAAGCCCATTACATTTTTTAACACAGCATGTAAAGCACACATTCTTTTCCAAATCTACGTACTACTTTAAGAATTATATTGACAACACTAGGTGCTGAAGCATTGACAAAGCAACATATCTTCAAATTTAAATTAATTTTTAAAAATGCCTGATAATTGCAATGATCAAGAAAGACTGATGAATTTGACAGAATGGGGAGCAGAATAGGTGGATTTCCTGAGCGGAGTGGCGGATGCAACATACTTAGTCTAAGTTTATCTAACACGTATAAGCAGGTATTACTTTAATTTTCTCCAGTATTAAGGACCAGCAATAACGCTGGCTGGAAACAATAAAGCTGACTTCCATGTGCAGTGATTTTCAGGATTTCAGTACATGGAAAACACTTGACGGGTCATCTTCATAGTTGGTAAAAAATACCCCCAGCACCTCTGGGGCCAGGACCATGTGCACATCTGGAAGATTTGGGTGCCACCTGTCCAATAATAGAAGTCCCAAAATGAAGTCCCTCATTCTGGAACCCTGACCTGGAATTAAACCCTATTGCAATATCATCCTCTCCCAAAAGTGTAATCCTAAAGAAACTAATGTGAGGTTTTCAGGTCAGCATCAATGAGGTAAACTACATAAGACACCCCTGCCTTCCCCTGAGGAAAGATGTTTTTACTTGAAATAATCCTTTCTTTTGCTAATAAGAGACAGTCCCAGTGTCTATCTGCCTACAAATACACTCCATAATATACAAGCTCTTGCAGTACCTAGACTGGATGCTGCCTGACTTGTAAAAATTTTTATAAAGCCAATTAGATCTCTAAATTTGTAAATTTGGTGTATTAGGATACCCCAGAGCCTCCCCGCCATGCAGTAGCTTCCGTGCTAGCTCCAAGGAGCGCTGATGGCACGTTCAGAGTGAGCTGCCCAACAGCTCCAAGCACAGGACCCGCTATTGCTCTTTTGTTCCTCCACATACGGAATTCATTGATAGCGGTAGATGATTGGAACATACTTGATGCACCCGAACGAGGGACTAGTTTCTAAAAGTGTTCAAACACACAGAAGACCATGCAACCGTTAACTAGCGGGAGATACACGCTTTGCCAAAACACATTGTTAGCAGTGGAAAAAAAGGAGCAGGAAGTTGTGTATCGGCGGGATAAACGGGGCGGTGCACGCAAACGACACCGCGCACACCAACAAGCTGATAGAAATGCGCAGAGTGTGAAAGGACACCAACAAACTGAGCACTCATCACTTTCAGAAACAAAATAAAATTGGGACCTAACAGACAAAGACAAGAGGAGGCACTTCTCACTGTGTCCCCTTCCCAACGCTTGACGCCCACCTGGACCATCCGAGCACACCGTCCAGTGGAAACGCCCAGACGCGTCACACCGCCCTGCTCAGCGCCCAGGCGGGTCTCCAGCAGGAGAAAGTCACCCGAAACCACCCAAATGAGCGGCCAGATTTGGCCTCAAGGAGACACTTTGCTCTTGGCACAGAAAAGGGGCGCGCTCCGGGGCGCTGCTCACTGCCCCCGCCCGGCCGCACCCCCACCCCACTGCGGGGGCTCCTCAGCGCGCCGGGCGCGTCCTTCTGCGGGGAGAGCGCGCGTCCCGGGGCGGCGCGGAGCAGGAGACAAAGCTGGGGATCCGCTCGTGGCAGAAGGGTAAGAATCTTGCGCTTTGCAACAGACCTGTTTTTGAGATATTTAAATCCCACGTGTCTGTTTTCTGGTGTTTATCTCTGTTCTCAAAGGGCTTTTTAAAGATCAAGCCCCCCTCAGCCAAACTTGAGGAAACAGCCTGAGCTCCCGCGCGCAGCAAGCCCGTGGCGCCCTCTGCCGGCCAGCGCTGCGGCTGCGCCTCTGAGGAGAAGGAGGTGGAGCCGCGAGGGCAAAGCAGGAACTCGCCTGCATCAAGATCAGAAGTTTCCGAATTTTTGATAGATTGGAGCAAGGGATCAAATTGGCACAGAAAGCATCACCCTACTGTGAGGCCAAGATGTTCTCTCACCCCCACATGGCGGGTGTTCTCGAAATAGATGTTCGCCCACCCCCACCCCGCACATGGCGCACCTGCCTAAGGTTGTCCAGGTGAAGGGAAATTTGCTGACATGAAGTGAAACAGCAGAGCTTGTGTTCCTCCACCCCCACTCGGTGCCCATTAGTATAAACCATGAGCTACCATGGTTATAGTCGTTTTCTGGGCAGAGGGGGTGAGGGGGGGTAGAGGTGTCCACCTGTGTCCAGCTGAAAGGCTTCCCAGTTCTGGAGAACAAGGGGGACCGCCTGAACCTGGAGGAGAAGGAAGCCCCTATTTTGGCAATGGGCCCCCCCAGTCCCGGCCGCTTCCTGCCCACCCTACACCCCCACTCCAGGGGCTTGCAAAAGAGCATGTGGCAGATGTATCTACATTACAGCCTGTCCTGTGGGTAGGGGTTATGTAGTGGCACTAAAGATAGAACAAAACCCCAAATACCGTCTGGAGAAAAAATATTTCATGGCATCATATTTTTTCGCTCAGATAGATGGTGACAAAATTGAGTTAAATAGCGAGACACTGTTTATCACAGAGAAGGGCTGCTGGAGAGAAGCCCTTCACATACCTGCTGTCAGAAGTGTCATGTGGATGGGAGTCCTGTGAGAGTGAAGAGGAGCAGGGTAGAGAGGCTCCTTGTTCCCAACTCGATTCTATCAAATGAACTTTATAACCTTTTATTGAAATTCATTTCAATGAACTTGGGATGGGACCTGGAATAGATTGGATTCGGAGAGGATTTTTAAACATTCCCATGTGACTGTAACAAGCAGCCTAGATTGGGTCAGGGAGCCATAAATCCACCCTGGGCCCCAGGCTGTGACCTGTCTGGTGCTGCCTGGAGCAGTGTGGGCTCCACAGGCTTAAGGGGAAGGGGAGGAAGGAGGAAGGGGCAGGACAGCATGAGGAGGAGGAGGAGAGACCAACCATGTCCACTAACATCAGCTGTTTACTTCAGAAAGAAATTGCTGCCTCCAACCTAGTATGCTGTTTTGCGGATCTTTGTTGCTGAGATGCCGAATCCAGCAGGAGAAAAGACAACCAGAAGGTTGAGAATGTTCCACTGGCACCTCAAGAAGGTAATGGAAACAGGACTGGGAGAGGATGAGACCTTTCCCGTCTCTCATCAGTGCTCTTCCTGTGCCTTCTTGCCGTTCTCTGGAGCGTTCTCACTTCCTCTGCTTTCCTGTCTCACTCACATGGTGCGTAGACGCTCGTGACACATGCCACTTTTCTCTGAAATATAACCTGCAGGTGGAGGCTGACGGTCCACCCCTTGGGCCAGTCAGTCATGACCATTCAGAGTCAAATTGCACACATCAGCTTCCAGGAGACTTTTTGGGGCACAGAAGATAGGATTAGAGTTAGAACTGTGCTTACAGTGGCCAGTGGGGTCTCTGCTCTGGCCCATTCGTCTTTCTACTCCATGGCTCCATCCAGCAAACTACTTTAAACTGAGTTGTCCCATCTCCTTCAACTCCTCTCAGCTGTGACAAATTCTCCAACAATCCTTGTTTTTGATAACCCTAACATTTCGTGGATAACTGGTGAGGCATTTTGTGAAATGTGACTGTTGTGCCTTTAAACCAATTTCTCTTTGCAACAGGCATAGATGTTAGGCCCAGGCATATCACCCTGCTGTAGGGTGAGGGGGCAGGGGGATGTAGTTGACTGTTGTGTTGATGCTGTAGTAGCAAAGAAAGATCCTTCTAGGTGAGGTTTTTTTGGTTTTATTTTTATTTTTCAGTCCTTTTTAAAAATTATTTCTTTATATATATTTTACATCATTGTTCATTTTTGTATAATGTTTGCTTTCTCCTCTCAGGTGTAGTGCCTGAGAAGATGCAGTCCCTTGGATTCTTCCGTCCCCTGTTTTGATACCTCTCCCTCCCCCTTCCCTGCAGAATGTCTCTGATTTATAGTTTCCTGTTAATTTTGGGTTATTTATTTATTATTATTATGATTTTGTTCCTGAGCCCTGATTTGGTTCCCCTATATTCTTCCTAGAAGTGAAATCACCCGATCTTTTTCTTTTTCCTTCTGACTTATTTCAATGAGTATAATCCTTTCTAGCTCTATCCATGATGCCAGTAAAAACGAGTTTATCTTTTTTGATTACTGAATAACATTCCATTGTGTATATGTACCACATCATCTTGATCCAGTCATCTGTTTTGGGGCATTTGAGTTGTTTCCATATCTTACCTATTGTAAATAGTGTTGCAATAAACATAGGGGAGCAGGTATCTTTTTGAATTAATGTTTTTGTGTCCTTTGGGTAGATTCTTATGAGTGGAATTGCTGGGACATATGGTAGTGAAATGGTCCAATCATTATGGAAAGCTGTGTGGAGGATCCTCAATCTTGTAAAAATGATTGGACCATTTCACTTTCCCACCAGCAGTGTAGGAGAGCTCCTTTTTCTCCTGGAGGTGGGGTTTTAATAAATTTAACAGGGTCATTTAATACATGCTTTCTCAACAGGAGTGATAGTGCCCCTACAGGGCAAAAATTAGTTATTGAATGGCAAAAAAATCTTGGACAGTATAATGGTTTGTGCCTCTAAAAGCTCAATTCAACTCAAAAAAATCTTATGTCTTACTGTTTATTTCATGGGGCAGGGATGTGGTTAGGAAAGGACTGTCTGAAAGAGAAGAAAATTGAAATTGACTGATTTGGTATAAACAGGAAGGCAACAACTAGACTAGTCATTATCTTCATCTGTCTTTAGAAACTTTCATGAGGATTTATGCTACACAACCTTGAAAAATCATCTTCCCAATTGAAAAAAAGTACTAGGAGGACTAGATTAGCTTAATTCACTTTTGTATTGGCAGCACATAAAGATGTGTATTTCTCTTACTGACCATACTATAACAGCTTATTGTGTGTATGAAGATTCCCAAGGGTTTGGGTGGGAGGAGGTTATAAAGGGATAGATAAGGAGGATTTGGGGGTGATGGAAATGTTCTGTGTCCTGCTTGTGATCATGACTGTGATGAAAAGGACAGAATCTTTATCATCAAATAATGATGAGTCCATTCCAGGGCAAAAAAATAAAAAGACTATTTTAGACATAGAAAGTTTGAAACAAATCTCATGTCAATCACAAAACAAAGGACTGGAGCAGAGACACTTAAAAGTGAAGTAACTGAGAGAAAGAACTATGGAAATAGAAAGATAGAAACACATAGAAAAGGCAAAATAAAAATCTGAATGGCAGAAATTAAGCAGCATATACCAGTAATGACCCTAATGTTTAACAGTCTGACCTTAGCAATCAAAGACACAGTGGCTGGAAGGATTAAAAAGTAGGATCCATTTATATTCTACAAACAAGAAACTCACATTAAATCAAGAGACAGACACAGTGAAAAGCTGGAGCAAGGGATTTCTGGATTTTTAGAGGAAAAAACCAGAAACTGCTATTTTAATACCTGATAAGTTAAACAATTAGGGGAAAAGTTCATAAATGCAGTGTTGGGAATTATATAATGACCAAAGGGTTATTCCAATAAGAATAATAACTGGCATCATATTTATGAACCCAGTGCATTTGCACTGAAAACACTTATGAACAAAGCTGACAAGACTGTGACAGCAGTACCCTGATAGTAGGGATCCTGACATACCACTTACGTCAGAGGACAGATCAGAAAGCAAACAATGAAATACTGATGTTAGATGAAATAATTGATCACATCGACTAAATAGACAGATACAGCAATTTCATCCCAAAAGTAATGAACACATAATGCACATGTAGCATCCTCAAGGTCAGATCCTATGCAGGGATATAAAAAATCATCCATAAAACTGAGAAGGTGGACATCATATCAAACACCTTTTCTGACCACAATGGTATGAACCTAGAAATCAACCACAGAAAGAAAACCGCAAAAGACTCAAATTGTGGCAACTAAAAATAATGCTTTGGTGTAACTCTTGGGTCGGGGGAAAAAAATCAGCAACCAATGAAAAATAAGAGAGCAGCTATCAAACCCTGCAGGATGCAAAGTGACGTTTAAAGGATGGTTCAGGGCCTCCCTGGTGGTGGTGCAGCAGTTGAGTGCTGGGCTGCGAAGCTGCCCACAGCCTTTGCAGCACCTGTTCTATCCCTGGCTGCTGGGCGAGGGTCCCACATGGTGTGCAGACCTCTTCTGCCGCCCCACTGCTGCCCTCAGCAGTGTACCTCAGTCCTTCTGCCTGTTCTGCTCTCCACTCTGGCTCTGGTGAATTCTCTCACCCTCCTGGGCTTCTGACTGTACCCAGTGCTTGTATAAATAAATAAATAAATCTTTTTAAAAAAATAAAGTTGAGAGTACGTCCCTGCATTGCCACTTTAGAACAGGGACATTTCTTTAGTAAAGCCTGATTGAAACCGGCAGATGGCTCTTGGAGGAGCCAGAAGAGAGCTGGGAAGTTCGCCCAAGATGTCGGCCAGTACCAGCAACACAGTGTCCCAATGCATAGGCAAATTAGAAAACAGACAGTAGGGAGTAGAAAAACCACACACAACCCAGCAACTCCTCAGGAAAAAAGCACACCACAAAAAGAAAACCACCCCCCAGATTGCAACGACAGTAACTTGGAAGAACTTCTGAGCCTTCCAGAAAGAGAATTTAAAATTGCCGTGATTGAAAAACTGACAGAAGTCATAAAGGAAAACAATGATAAGGGAAAAATAATCAATGATCAGAAGAATGAAATCGAGTCCCTAAAGAGGGAAGTAAAAGAAATGCAGGAGATCAAAGAATTAATGGAGGAGCTAAAGAACTCTGGGGAAAGCAATGAAAGCAGAATAGATGAAATGGAAGAACAAATAAGTACTCTTGAAGACACAGAAATAAAAAGAACCAAAACAGAAAAGGAAAGAGAAGTACGAAGGAAAAAGAACTAAGAAAGACTTCGGGAACTATCTGACTCCATGAGGAAAGGAAATATAAGAGTTATAGGAATCCCAGAAGCAGAGGCGAGAGATGTAGGAACAGAGAAAATATTCAAGGAGATAGTTGAAGAGAACTTCCCAAACGTGAAGAAGGAGCTGAAAATTGATATACAAGAAGCAAGAAGAACACCAAACTTCCACAACGAAAGGAAAAATACAGCAAGACACATAATAGTAAAGCTCCCAAGAATCCAGGAGAAGGAAAAAATAATGAAGCTGACAAGAGGGAAGAAACAGATAACATTCAAAGGAAAACCAATCAGACTGACATCAGACTTCTCTGAAGAAACACTACAGACAAGGAGAGAGTGGAGGGACATAGTCAAAAGACTCCAAGAAAACAGATGCCAACCAAGAATAGTCTATCCCGCAAAGCTCTCCTTCCTCTATGAAGAAAGAATAAGGACCTTCCCAGACAAACAGAAACTCTGGAATTTCATTACGATTATACCCCCACTCCAAAAAATACTACAAGGAGTCCTAAAGCCAGAACCTCAGAGGGACGAATAACAATGAAAGAAGGCCAAAAAAAAGTTATTAAAAGAATAAATAAATAAAATCAAAGGAAAGACAAACACAATGGCAAATAGAGATGCTAACATATCAATATTAACTCTAAATGTAAATGGACTAAACTCTTCAATAAAAAACACAGAGTCACAGGCTGGATTAAGAAACAAAATCCAACCTTTTGCTGTCTTCAGGAAACACATTTAGATACAAAAGATAAAAATAGACTCAAAGTTAAAGGATGGAAAACAATCCTACAAGCAAATGGATCAAAAAAGAAAGCAGGAACAGCTATACTTATATCAGATAAAACAGATTTCAAACTCAAAAAGATAAAAAGAGATCCCAACAGTAACTACATTATAATCAAGGGGACAATACTTCAAGAAGAAATAACACTCATTAACATATTCACCAAACGAAGGGGCACCAAAATATATCAGACAACTATTGTCCTCTCTGAAAACAGACATCAGAGAAAACACATACGTAGTGGGAGACTTCAACACACCACTATCAACAATGGGTAGATCAACGAAACAAAAAATAAGTAAAGACACTAAAGCTCTAAATAAGGATCTAGAGCGCTTGGGCTTAACAGACATCTATAGAACACTAAAC